CCCCCTCTTCGTGGAGGAACGACACTAAACCCTGCCTAGGCTTCATATCCGAGTCACGGCACCATTATGTCGCTCCCCCTCTTCGTGGAGGAGCAACACTAAACCTTGCCTAGGCTTCATATCCGAGTCACGGCACCATTATGTCGCTCCCCGTCTTCGTGGAGGAACGACACAGGACCCTGCGTTGTTCTTTCGTCTGCTCGGCCCTCCCCGGGTTTGCTGCTGGTTCTTCCCGGGTTGGCTGCTGGTCCTTCCCTGGTTGGCTGCTGGTCCTTCCCGGGTTGGCTACCGTCCCTTCCACCTCCGTGAAAGGGCGGTTCCCCCTGCCACATTCCCCACTTCCACAGGGGAGCAGCACACCGCCGGCCGGCTCTCTCGGGGGCTGCACAGGTGTTCCTTCAGATAGATGTTCCCCCTAGATGTTCCTGGTGCATGCCGTCTCTCTCCTCCTTTATAGTCCTCCTCTGCCAATCCCAACTCGGCTGCCCACACGCCGAGTACGCTGCTCTCCTCCAATCAGGAGCAAGTCCTACAGTTTATTGGCTGAACTGGAGGCAGCTGTGTAGAAGCTGTTTTCTTCTCTCCCAGCGCCATATTGTGGGAGAGCAGATGCATAGAATAAGTCTTAATTCCAGTAACTTAGTCTAGTCCAAGTTGCTCCCAGTTGCTCCCCACACTAGAGGGGTCACGACTTTACCCATTTCATGAGGCATGTTCTTTTCAAGAGCTTGCAAAAAGCAGAGGCAGGAAATGCTCCTTCCCCCTGCCCCAGAATGCTCGCTAAGCCGGGTCAGGCCACGGGTCCTGGAACGCTGGCACAGTGAGTTCCATAGTCAGCATCGGCGCCAAGGAAACGAGAAGGAACAATGGATCTGCAAGAGCCGCTGGGATGCATCAAACGCCTTCAGCTTGGTCAGCCAGGACCTGGGGAGCTGCCGGGAGGCTGGGTCACCCCCTCCCCAGGCCTCATCTTCTGGCTCAGTAGAAATGGCCAGTTTTGGAAAACTGCCTCTTCCAGGGTGGGACAGCATTGTAGGGTCATAGAAAGTGAGAGTGAATGGAGATCCTTAGAGATCCTCATGTTCTGTCCACTCCTGCTGCCTGTATCCCTGTTCAGGGTAAGACATGCAGTATCTTAGGCAGGAAACTTGCAGAATTGTACCCAATAATGTGACTTAGGAGCTTACGCAGTCATCTGAAGCATTGGAGGAGAGGGCTCTGGGCAGGACTTCCCGGCACAGCATCTTTGAGGGGGCCCTCTGGGAGCCGCCACCTTCACATTTGGGAAAGCAGAAGCAGGGGCCCCAGGGAGACGGGAGGTCGGGAGCAAGGGGCTGCAGGTGGGCCCTGAGGATCAGCATCTGCCTTGGGATTTCCTCAAAGCTGGGGCCAGGCTCACTCTGCACAAACCTCTCCTGCCGGCAGCAAGCGGCCTGAGCAGCAGCAGGGAGATGTCCTTGCCACACCCCAACCTTGCACGATGAATCCAGAACTGTAGCTTCAGGAAGTCTGGGAGATGCAGCTGTCCACTTTCCAGCCTCAAGGGATGCGGAGAGAGAAACTGACTGCTGCCAGCCCCGTCCAGTGTTCCTAAGGCTCTGTCTGAATACCTCCGGTGCAGGGAGCTCACTACCGGAGCTTCTGGAAAGGGGAATCAGAACCCCGGGGATCCTGGGCAGGAAGATTTACTTTCCCCCATGGGCTTTTGTAATATTTACATTTTTACCACGCACATGCGTTATTCTGATAAACTTTTTTTTTTTTTTTTGACAGGCAGAGTGGACAGTGAGAGAGAGAGACAGAGAGAAAGGTCTTCCTTTGCCGTTGGTTCACCCTCCAATGGCTGCAGCGGCCAGCGCACTGCGGCCGGCGCACCGCGCTGATCCGAAGGTAGGAGCCAGGTACTTCTCCTGGTCTCCCATGGGGTGCAGGGCCCAAGCACTTGGGCCATCCTCCGCTGCACTCCCGGGCCACAGCAGAGAGCTGGCCTGGAAGAGGGGCAACCGGGACAGAATCCAGCGCCCTGACCAGGACTAGAACCCGGTGTGCTGGCGCCGCAAGGCGGAGGATTAGCCTAGTGAGCCGCGGCGCCAGCCTGTATTTAAAAAAAAAAAAAAAAAAAAAAAAAAAGTACGGCTAAGCCTGGCATGGCCTGTGTTCTGCAGGCCCAGAGAGAGAGAGACCATCTACTCCTTACTCTGGATGTATTGGTTTAAAGAGTTTAGCATTTTTGTTTATTTGTTTTCCCTTTTCTTGAAAGGCAGAGAGATAATGAGACAGAAAGACACAGAGGGAAACAGAGTCAGACAGAGATCTTCCATCTGCTGGTTCACATTCCAAGTGCCTGCAACAGCCGGGACAGGGCCAGGCATCCAGAACTCAAAGCAAGCTTCTCTCGAGGATGGCAGGGACCCAAGTACTTGAGCCATCACCTGCTGCCTCCCAGGGTGTGCATTAGCAAGAAGCTGGATTGGAAGCGGAGCCAGTGCTCAAAACTAGGCTCTCCAGTATGGGATGTGGGCGTCTCAAGCAGTGTCTTAACCTCTGGCAGGCCAGACACCCACCGCTAGATTCATTTTTTGTAAATACTGTCTCAGATCATATTGTTTTCTTTTGTGCTGGTCACTTATCTCATTCCTTTGTTCAGTCATCTGTCCGTCCGCCCATCCATCCATCTGTCCACCCCACAGCTTTCCTGTGGTGCTTCTCTACCTCAGGCACTTGGAGGAAGCCCATCTGTGGGCTCCAGGGCTAAGGTCAGCACTGACAACCCCCCCTTGGGTTTCCCTGGTCCTCCTCCTCAGTAGCTGCAAGTCCTGATCCATCTAGTGACAGGCAACATCGGCACGGGGCTCCTGGCGCTCCCCTGCCCTGAAGAACACAGGAGTCCTGGTTCAGAGGGGCTGAGTGTCCCTGACTACTGCAGGGACCTGTGATGGTGGTGTCCGCGAGGCTCTCCCACATGCCAGAAAGCAGACCTCCCTCGGTGACATTGGACATGGTTTCACATCCAGCTTCCCTGGGATGGCTTCGTTCTCAAGAATCCTGGTGCTGTGGTAAATTCGCTGCCTGCTGTGCCAACATCCCATATGGGCACCAGTTTGGGTCCCGGTTTCTCCACTTCTGTTCCATCTCTCTGCTATGGCCTGGGAAAGAGGAAGATGGCCCAGGTCCTTGGGCCCCTGCATGCATGTGGGAGATCAGGAGAAAGCTCCTGGCTCCTGGCTTCGGATCAGCTCAGCTTCAGCCCTTGCAGCCATCTAGGGAGTGAACCAGCAGGTAGAAGACACCTCTCTCTCTCTCTCTTTCTCTCTCTCTGCCTCTCTGTGACTTGGCCTTCAAATAAATAAATAAATCCTTTAAAAAAAAAAAGGGCCCCTATTTTCACAGTGACTCTGCATAGCCTGGAGTAAGAAAGGCTCAGCCCATCCTGGCTCTGTGCTCCCCATTCCATAAGCTGTTATTGTTATAATTTGTGATTTTTAAAAAAGATTTATTTATTTGAAAGGCATAGTTACAGAGGCAGAGAGAGAGATCTTCCATACACTGGTTCACTCCCCAAATGGCTGCAATGGCCGGAACTGTGCCAATCTGAAGCCAGTATCTTCTTCCAGTCCTCCCACGTGAGTGCAGGGGCCCAAGCACTTGGGTCATCTTGTACTGCTTTTCCAGACCATCAGCAGAGGGCTGGATTGGAAGTGGAGCAGCTGGGACTTGAACCTGTACCTATATGGGATGCTGGCACTGCAGGCCATGGCTTTTCCCACTATGCCACAGTGCAGGCCCTTGTTTTTTAAGTTGTTAATATTAACTATTTTGAAAGGCAGAGGGAGAGAGAGAGGAATAGGGAGAGGGAAGGAGAGAGAGAGAGGAGAGAGCAATGAGAATCTTCCATCCACTGGTCTATTCCCCAAATGGCCTCAACAGCCCAGGCTAGGACAGGCTACAGCCCCTGCACTTGTGGTAAAAATCCGTCCACAGCTCTGAGTTTTACATGTTACCATCTTGGCCACCAGAGGGAGCCTGATCTGAGGGTTTCTCACACAAAAATCCAGGAAAGGAACTTCCTGGTTCAACTTGGATTAGCACCACCCTTGATCCAATCAACAGTGATTAGGGGACTGGGCAGCAGATATTGTATCTGATAAGGAGGGTTTGAGGGTTTGCCGAGCAGATAACCCTGTGGACGTGATGGAGCATAGGAGAAAGTAAAAGGAAATGAGGAATAAAGGTTGGGCAGCCTCCATCCCTAGCCTTCAGCTGTGCTCATTAATGAGCGTCAGAAACTTCGGACACCACCGTGGCTAGGAATCAATACAGAAAGAGCTTGAAGCGTGGCTGGGAGCCTGGCTTTGCACCTCCCTTGCTGTGCGGCCCTGAATCATGTTGCTAAAGCAGGGCTCAGAACGCCCCCCTGGTGAGGCTGTTTGGTGGAAACCTGCTGAGAACCCAGCCGCAGCTGTAAGAGAGGCAGCAGAGTGAGTGAGCCGAGTGGATTCAGATGCAGACTCTCGGGAGCAGTGGGTTTTCAGCGGGGAATGACTTTGACCTCAGAGGACATTTGGCAATTCCTGGAGACGCTTGCTGTTGTCATAACTGGGAGGGGGATGCTGCTGGCACTGAGTGGGTAGAAGCCAGGGACGCAGCTCAGCACCCTGCAGCACACAGGACAGCACCGCACAAGGGATCAGCTGGCCAGAATGGCAGTGCTGCCCGGGTTGACAAGGCCTGCTCCCGCCAAGCTCTCTGGATTCTAATTATTGCTCTGCCACTTCTTTGTGCCTCAGTTCCCAGCTGAAAAGTGGATCACAAAGCTTCAAATCTGTTTATATACACAAATGGCGGTTCCTAAACCCTCCATAACGCTAATGAATTCCAAAGAACTGAGCTGAAATAGCTGCCACTGTTTCTTTATCATCGCCTTTGAAATTTTTATTTAGGTATTTATTTAAGAGGCAGAGACAGCAAACAGAGCTCCCATCCACTGTTTCCGTCTCCAGATATCCACAACAGCTGAGGCTGGGCTGCAGCGGGGCGCCAGGAACTCAGCCACGTCTCCCACGGGAGTGGCAGAAACGCAATCAACTGAGTTCCACCGCTGCCCCCTGGGGCGCCTGCATTAGGAGGAAGCTGGAGTGAGGAGCGGAACCAGGTAACCAACCCAGGCATTTCAATGGGTTTCTCAATCCCTAGGCCAAGCACCTGGCCTGGCCTGGTTTCTTTTCTTTTCCTTTCTTTTTTTTTTTTTTTTTCTTTTCTTTTTTTTTTTTTTTTACAGAGCGGAAAGCAGGGTGAGGACTCAGACACTGGGTGCAGACTCTCAGAGGCTCCACCGCCTGCTGCCTGAACAACAGTGACGATCCAGGCCCTTTGCAGCTGCAAGACAGGGGTCACCCTCTAGCCACTGCGCTGGCTGTTTCCAGGCGGAAGGAAGCAGCTTCCAGGCTCCTGGAGCCAGACCTGTTGCTGCAGACACCCTGGAGGTCTTCTTGTTTGCAGGGGCTTTTAGTGGGGTTAAAGGTTATTGTCCCTTTAAGAGCATTGTTCTCGATCATTGATCATTTAGTTCAGGGTTTCCCTACCCCTGGTGGGGAGCAGGTAGTGAACTGGGGAGGGGGGAAATGTGTTGGTTGATTTCCTTCATTATGTATTTGTTCCCTTTTATTCACAGCAACTTAGAATTGCATTATAACACTTTTAAAACCCACCTAATTTTCAAACACCGACTTGAGAAAATTAACCTAGGTGAAACACAGATGCGATAAATGCCTAAAGTCTCAGGCAGGCTGTTGTAGTTGAACCTCCTCACTGCTGGAAGGAGAACCTGAAGCAAGGCCCGAGCCTCAGTTTCCTTGTCCTGAAAATGAAGATAAAGCCGTCCACGTTGTGGGGTAGGGGTGAGAATTCAGTAACACACAGAAGGCCCTTAACACGGCGCCGGGGATATGAGCGGCTTATCCACCAGGGACGAGGAACCCTACGTGAGGATCCCTGTCTTTCTGGATTGCGGGATCCCCTAGTGCAAAACAGAGGCACAGGTCAGAGGATTTCTGCAGGGCCTCCCTGTCCTCTGCTCTCACTGGCCCCAAACACTGGCCCCAGCGAGTGCAGAGAACGGAAGCCACTTCCTCCCCACATCTAGTTCCCCATCATGCTTGGTGCATGGAGGCACTGAGGTCCCACTGCTAGCCTGGGGACTTCAGCCCTGGGCCTCAGCTGCCTCCTGTCCTTCCTCCTGCCCCAGCCCACCACAGGAGAAGGTCGCGGAAGGCTGAGCGCTCTGTGGGCGCCGCTTCCTGGTGCTCTCCCTTTGCTTTCCTCCTGTTGCGTTTTCACAAGCCTGGTTTTAGGGTGACGACAGCCATTTTTCCTGTGTTTCTCAGTTGGGAGATCCCGGTCCCCAGCAGCCCGCCATGGTGGCAGGCTGGAAGCCCTTCCCCTGCTCTTCAGGACAGCGTCTTTGCCTTGGGAGGTACTGCAGGGGTGCAGTTAGAGATGGGGTGAGTGCCCCATCCCCATGCTAGGAAGTCAGAGGAACAGCATGATCAGTGCAGCCCAGCAGGCAGGGTTTGAATCCTGGTTTTTTTTCTTCACCCTATGCAGCTCTGTGATCTTGGACAAGCTACTGTTTTTACCCCTCTCTGTGCCTCAGTTTTCTCATCTGTAAAACAGAGATCCTGACACCCACGAAGCCAAGGGTGTTATAAGGTCTCAGTGAGCACAGTTGATCCTTTATTAGTATTTTGTTTCACTAGTCCTCACTGAGTACACGTGAAAGGCTGCTAACAGCCTAGGGAGAGAGAACTGACAGAAGGCTGCAGGAGGTCGGGCAAAACTTTTTCCTGTGGGCTCCACCTGGTCCATGTGTAAAATGGGATAACTCACCACCTTTGACAACAGGCCCTGGCAGCTGGTCAACCTACTTAAGCACTGGTGGCCTTCTGAGTTTAAAAATCTACTTAATTGATCATATTAAGTATGGAATTGATCATATACATAGGACCATCAGTCAAAGGGATCACATAAATAAGACCAAGTGTCCGGTAATAACAATAGATAGAATTGCAAAGGAGAGAAAGCTCCAACATGGGAAGCAGTCCACACAGCTGACTCATAGAATGACAAACACCCTAAACAGCACTCTGACCTCAGAATCAGCCCCTAAGGCCTTTCTGAAAACACCATGAGAGCACTTCAGGCATGGAAAGCCAAGACATAGTGGCAAAAATGGTTCTGCATGAAGGATCTCTATGAGTGAGACCCCAGTGGAAAGAAGGGGCTATCAAAGAAGGAGGTACCTTTCTCTGAAGGGAGGAGAGAACTTCCATTTTGCATATGGCCCTGTCTAAAAACCGATGGCATTTGTGAACTCAAAAGGCTTCCATAGCCTTGGCAGCTCATGTCAAGAGCCTTGGGTGATACTTACGTCATAATTAAGAGTATCAGTTGTTAAATCAACAACAGGAATCACTGTGTACTTGCTCCCCATGCTGGACCTCTGTCCTTAATGAGTTGTATTATGAAAATTAACAGTAAAACTAGTCTTCAAACTGTTCTTAATACTTTGTATGTCTGTGTGGGTGCAAATAGTTGAAATCTAGTTGGTCTTCTGTATATAAAGTCAATTAAAAACGAATCTTAATGGAAAATGGAACAGGAGAGGGAGTGGGAGGTGGGATGGGAGTGAGAGTGGGAGGGCAGGAATGGGGGAAGAAACACTATATCCCTAAAAGCTGTACATATGAAAATTTGTATTCATTAAATAAAAACCTTCAAAAAATTAAAAAAGGCAAATTAGCCTAATCATTATAAAAAAAAATCTACTTAATCTGCTCTGCCTTCAAGCAGCACTTCTAGCTGCTAGAGCTCTTTGAATGCAGTACAAGGAAAATGACTAATAAAGTCAGTACTAAAAGGGAATTCCGCAGTAGGTTTTAAATATTTCTTACTCTCTGTGCCCCTTGAATGAGATCACAAACAGTACAATCTTTAAAACATATCAGTTATTGTCCCATTGCTCAGAACAAATATAAACATATCCATTGCCTACTCAAATTTGAGGAGCCATCTTTGTTTAAAAAATATACTTACGGAGAGAATAATACGATAAACACATACAAACTGGGAATTCTGTCCTATTCTTGCAACTTTTTGAAGTCTGAAACGTTTCAAAATAAAAGGCTAAATAAAGGGGCAGGCAAGAGTTCCAGCCCCAGCTTGAAGTGGGGTTCACGTCCGGGTGTGGAGATGAACCTGAGGCCTGCGTGTGATCTGGCTGCACCCCCAGCTCCCAAAACCAAGCACCCTGGTCTTCCTCTTTGTGCTTTTTAAGCTGTTTGTCTTTCTTTTTTTCCACAGGCAGAGTTAGACAGTGAGAGAGAGACAGAGAGAGAGTTATAGACAGTGAGAGAGAGAGGTCTTCCTTATGTTGATTCAACCCTCTAATGGCCGCTATGGCCGGCGCTGCACGATCTGAAGCCAGGAGCCAGGTGCTTCCTCCTGGTCTCCCATGCGGGTGCAGGGACCCAAGCACTTTGGGCCATCCTCCGCTGCCCTCCGGGGCCACAGCAGAGAGCTGGACTGGAAGAGGAGCAACTGGAACTAGTACCCACCGCCCCAACCGGGACTAGAACCAGGGGTGCCGGCACCACAGGCAGAGGATTAACCAATTGAGCCACAGCGCCGGCCCTAAGCTGTTTGTCTTTTGTCCTCCTTTGCAGGGGTGTGCTAGGCAGATCCGAGGCTCCCGCCTTATTACTTTGGAGCACAGAATCGCAGACCATAGACAGCAGGGACTGGAATAGAGCAGGGGCCTGCAGTTTCCTTGACAGCTAACTCAGACCGCAAGTAAAGAAACAGGTTCCAGCGCTGGAACTATGTCTACTGCTTCCCATCCTTCGGACAGGAGTTGTCATTCATTCTTGTATATAAAGTGCCCTCCTCTCCCGCTCCAAGCAGAAGGAATCCAAACTTGTACTGAAGTGCACACACCTGCCTCACCGCTGGATGAGCACTTACCACCTGGAATTGGGCTGCTGCGCCCCCTCGTGGGCAGAGTGGGGAAGCACAGTTCCTGCAGAGATGGTTGCCTGTACATGCTAACAGCAATTTTCTGTCACAGCAATGCACAGGCCACAAAGCTGCTTGGAGGCAAAGCCTTTCCTGAGTATAGAGCAGGATACTCTACTATGCATGGCTGGGCTTGAAGGTAATTTTAATATCTGATGCTATAATTCAGTAGTCCTTTATACCTAGTAGATTTGAAGCTAGTACCCTGTCTTGGAGCTTTTTGGTTTTTCTTTTTTTTTCCCTGAGATATTTTGTTTCTGGTTTTTTCCCTGAAATATTTGTTCCTGAGATGCATGACCTTAGGGTGGCAAAAAGTGGGCAAAGAAGTCTTAACATAAATATAAACCACCATGTAGTTGAGTGTGGTTCTTCCCTTAGCAGGTTTTTCCGCCGGAAGACAAGATGTGGCATGGTGCCCAGTTTCAGCTCATTCTGCATGAGGGGATGTTCGTGATCACCCCCATAGCTGAGCCTCAAGGCCAGGGGCTGCTTCAAGTTGGGGGCCACTCCAGGTGAGCACTACTAAACCTCCCCACCTGGGAGCGAGTGGGTTTAGCCTCAGAGCCTGAAGTTCTAGGATGGTGTGTGTGATGGGGCTGGCTTGGCTCCCCTGTATCAGAAGGAAATGGAAAGACCATGAGTGAGGGTCAGCACCAGGAGGAGAGGCTGAGAAGCTCAGACAGCCTGCATGAGTCAGGAGCTGGATTCCTGTCCAACGTGGCCATGAAGCCCCCTGTGTTCTGGGCAGGCTATTTCTCCTCTGGACCCCAGGGTCCCTCTCTACAACAAAGGTATCAGACGGAATGACTCCAAGTGTTCCCCCCAGCTTCCAACTGTCGATCAGATCTCTTTTATGTGCAAGCAATGAAGTCCAATCCAAAGTAACCTAAGTTATAAAACTAAATGGAAAGTGGTTTTGTCTGCCTGAGGCGGCCGACAAGGGGCTCCCCAGGACCCGGCCTCTCCACCTCTCGGGCCTGACCTGCATTGCACACCTTGCCGGGGGTGGAGTGGGGTTCTCTGAACCTGGTGGGTACAGCGTAACTCCTGTGAACCGAGACACAATAGTTGCCAGGGCAGTCGATCTAGCCCATGTCACCTAAAACATAGAATAGTTCCTGTCGCAGCTGGCACTGGAGAGCACTTCACGGCCCTCTTCCCACTTCCTGGTAAGACAGGCCAGGTCTGGGACCAACTGGGAAGGTGGTCAGGGCAAGGCCACTGCCGGGATGCCAGCAGCTGCTTCTCCCTTTCGCTCTCCTTTTCAGGCACATGGCCCCTCCACCGCTTCTGCTCTTGGCTTTGCTCCTGTACATTGACATCCCCGCTGAGAACCTGCTCTCTGTCTGGGTGAGTCCAACTGAGAGAGTCTGGTCCTCACAGGCAGATGTGGGAAGCTGAGAGCTCTGTGTACCCAGAGCAGCGGAGAAGAGGAACCTTATTCCCGGGAGCTCTGGAAGCGCTCCGAGGCATTTCCTGCCTGGATGCAGACTCTGGGTTGTTTCCCCTTGGAAATTCCCAGGATATCCAGCCTGCTCCGAGAGCTAGGTTTGAACTTGGGGTTTTCCTCTCCCTGCCCACCATGGCCAGGTGGGGAGAGCAAATGAGAGATTTGGCCAGGGGTATGACCAGGGGAGGGACAGCAGCCTGGTCCACAGTTACCCATGTGGTAAGGGTGGGTGGGTGGGAATGGGCAAAGGGGGAATGTTTCCAAATTTAAAAGAAGCCAGAAGTCCTGTGTATGTGTACATGCAATGTTTTCACATTTTTAAAAAGATTTATTTATTTATTTGAAAGTCAGAGTTACACAGAGAGAGGAGAGGCAGAGAGAGAGAGGTCTTCCATCTGCTGGTTCACTCCCCAGATGGCTGCAATGGCCAGAGCTGTGCTGATCTGAAGCCAGGAGCCAGGAGCTTCTTCCAGGTCTCCCACGCGGGTGCAGGGGCCCAAGGATTTGGGCCATCTTCCACTGCTTTCCCGGGCCATAGCAGAGAGCTGAATTGGAAGAAGAGCAGCCGGGACTAGAACCAGTGCCCACATGGGATGCCAGCACTTCAGGCCAGGATGTAAACCTGCTGCGCCACAGTGCCAGCCCCCACTTTCACATTTTAAATAACGACAACTAATTCAAAAAGTGTGGTCCTCCTGTGGTCCGCTTGCAGCCAGGGTCTAGATTTCATTCCCAGGTGTTTTTATGAAGCTCCCTGGGCACTCCCCCCACCCCCAGCCTGCCACTCGCGTGTTGGTCTCTGGGATAGGATTATTGATGTTTCCAATATACGTAATGGATTTGTCTATTTCATATTTCAAATCTATCATTTTTAGCTTTGCGCTTTTTGAAGGTTTGTTGTTAAAGAAATACACATTTACATCTTTTAGAGTTTTCTAGCTAAGTTGACTCTTTAGCATTTTATAATATCCCTCTTTATCTCTGGCAATATTCCTTGTTCCTAAGTATAGTTTGTTGTTAATGCAGCCACTCCAGGTTTCTTGAGTATTTGCATGTGTTTTTTCCTTTAATTTTAACCTACTGACTGTTCTTTACATTTAATGGATTTCTTGTAGAAAGCTGATAGTCGGGTCTTGTTTTTATATCCAATCTATCTCTGTCTTTTAATTGGTGTTTAGACCACTTATATATTTCATGCAATTGCTGCTAGTTTGAATTCAAATCTACCTTGCTGAATATTCTCTGTTCCATCTGCTCTTTATTTTTTCTTCTTTTTCTGCTTGTTTTTGGGTTGGGTATTTTTAAAGATCCCATCTTTAAAAAATATTTTTAGTCATTGCCCTATGGTCTACCATTTATATCTATAATCAATCATAGACTACTTTCAAATAATATACTGCTGTAGAATCCGAGCCCTCCAGTAGTATATGACCAATTCCTCTTTCCCATTTTCATGCTATTTTTGTCCCATTTTATTTTTATACATGCTATAAACCCACAATGCATAGCTACTATTTTTGCTTTAAACCAGAAGTTGTCTGACTTTTTCTTAAAGAACCCAACCATAAATATTGTAAACTCTCTTTCACTCTGTACAGGCTCTGTTCTGCTAGAAGCAGAGGGAGAGAACATATACACAAATGACCATGGCTGCATCCCAATAAAACTGTTACTCGTAAAAATAGGCTGGCAGCTCAAAGGCCATAGTTTGCTTGTCCTTGCTTTATTTATTTATCTTGTTCATGTTTTTTTTTTTTTAAGATTTATGTTATTTATTTGAAAGAGTTAGAGAGGTAGAGACAGAAAGAGAGGTCTTCCATCCATTGGTTCACTCCCCAGATGGCTGCAACAGCTGGAGCTGTGCCAATCCAAAGCCAGAACCCAGAAGCTTCTTCCAGGTCTCCCATGTGGGTAGAGGGGCCCATGGACTTGGGCCATCTTCTACTGCTTTCCCAGGCCCTAGTGAGAGCTGGATCAGAAAAGGAGCAGCCCGGACTATTACCGGTGCCAAATGGGATGCTGGTGCTTCAGGCCAGGGCTTTTAACTCTCTGCACCACAGTGCTGGCCCCAATTGTTGATGTGTTTTATTAACTCCTCATATGCAGTCACCCGTCTTATAGTTTGTTGAAGCAGTAGGTCAGACAGCACGTGCCTCAGTGACACCTGTCAAGGTGGCTGGCCACAAAATCTCCAGCACCACCCTCATCCCAACTCCTAAGTACGCCACTCTTATCCACCTTACGTCCGTCAGCACAGCCAGCTCGGCCTTCTTTCTTTTACATTTATTCTTCCTGGGAGTGGGGCAGGACTTCTTCCTTTTCTTAGTACCACCGGGAAGTCTCAGCACAAGATGAAGAGTGGACTGCTTTCAGATGTGGTGGGCAGGGCCCATCCATCTGCAGTTGGTTCAGTCTTTGCTGACCGGGAGGAGTCCCTTGCCTCGGCTGGATCTTGGGCTGTACATTTTCTGTTGGAACCGAGGGTTCGGCCTGGAGAGAGATGGTCTTCCCTGAAACAGTTGTTATGCACACTTGCATTTTGGTGGCCATCCTACCATAGAAAGCCTTGTTGTTGCTTTAGGCAGTCAGATCTCCTGTAGAGGAATGAAAAATAAGAAAAACACTATTTTTATAGCTTCCTCTAACCAAGTTATTGGGTTCCTGCCACCTATGTGGGAGAACTAGATTGGGTCCCTGGCTCTCGGCTTTGTCCTTGAACCTTGTGAGCACTGGGGAGTGAATCAGCAGATAGGAGCACTCCCTACCGCTCGCTTGCTCGCTCTCTCTGCCTCCCAAATAAATGCTTCTAAAAATGTTCACATCCACGCATAGTACGCATTTCCATGGATGCTTTGGAGACCCCTTGAACAGGCACAGCGAGGTTACCCCAAGGGGCGGGCACTGGGGTGGAGCGGATTAAATGCCAGACCGAAGTCCTGGCGATCCTCAGAGTATCATGGGGGAGAGTAAGAGCGTGTGGATGAAAATGATTTGCACAGACGAGGTGTTTGACGAGTTTTCGTTATTTCACTCTGGCCCTATGAAGGCCAGAAGAGGCACGAAGGGACCATCCCCATCTCCAAGCCAGGCTGAGCCTCCTCCTCTCCCAGCACCTTGGAACCTGAGGAAACACTGATCCGCCACCCAAGTGACAGGAACAGCCCTGCTGATGGGGGCCCGAGCAGTGTCTGAGGCGCGTCCCAGGTGCGACACCACGGCCTCGGAATCCGATCCTGCAGATGGCTTCTTGGCCTCAGGCCGCAAGAGCTTAGGGGCCAGCACTAAGTCCCGCAGAGAGTGGCAAAGGCAGATTTAAACCCTGCTCTCTGAGGTGCTGAAGTCCGTGGTCGTAACCACTGAACCCTGTCCCTGACTCAGCTACCTGACTGCGGAGCAAGCGGCCCCTCCTCTCTCTCTGTAACATGAGAGTGTGGCTTAGGTGGCCCCCAGCACACTTTCCCACCCACCCGTGCTCTCCCTCTTCTGCTTCCGCGGCACAGGCCCAGCCACCCCACTGGTTGGTGCAGGCGTCTGTGGCTTCGCCTCAGCCCCTGTAGCCCCCCGGGGCGGCTTGCGTTCCCCAGGCTTGTCACTCAGCGCAGGAGTTGCTGTGTGTGGAGTTCCCTGGCCAGATACAGATGCTGTGTGTGCAGAAACACAGCTTCCATGGCACTGGGGCGCCCTTTATGGGCACCTCCGAGCAGGAGAGACGAAGAGGCGGGTCTGAAGTGAAGTTTGAAGGAGAAAATGGCCCCCAGTTGGGTAGCCTGTCCTCCACGGAATTCCTAACCGGGAACCGCGGCCACCAGGGGAGGCTGCAGGAAGCCGGCACTTCCTTCTTGGTCTCTGTGTGAGTGGCGCCTGACCCTGGACCTCAGCGTTAGAATTTCTCCTTACAGAAGTGCAGGATGGAAGGGTGCCTGGGAGAGGCATCAGGATGAAGATGGAGCACAGCAGAGGCGCCCCCTAGCGCCTGACCATGACACAAAGCACGAAAGGGAGGGCAAAGGTGGTGAAACACACTCTAGAATCTACTGGGCGGAGAAATGAGCAATGGGTGTACCTCTAAGCCCTCTCTTTTTCTTCCAGCACATTAGCAGAACTTCCTGAATTCTTAACACAGTTTTCAAAAAAAAATTTTTAAAGACGATCTCTGCTTCTTTTTTGTTTGTTTTATTTAGGATGTATTCATTTATTTGAAAAGTAGAACATCAGAGACAGAGGGAAAGAAAGAGAGATTTTCCATCCTCTGGTTCACTCCCCAGAATGCCTGCAACAGCCAGTCTGGGCTAGGCCGAGCCAAGTGTCAGAAACGCCCTTCTGGTCTCCCAATTGGGTGGCGGAGGTCAAAGTACCTGAGTCAGCATCCACTGCCTTCCCAACTGTGTTAGCAGGAAGCTGGATTGGAAACAGCAGCTGGGACTCCAATGGCACTCCAGTGTGGGATGCTGGCCTTGCAAGTGGCTGCTTAGCCCACTATGCCACAGTGCTTGGCTGCCATTCAAAATTCTCATTTTATTATAAAAATAAAATATATGCCTTTAAAGATCAAATGCATTGATGTTCAAATGTGAAATTCCCACCCCTGCTTTTACCCATAAGTCTCCACTTAGAGTCCTATGCTGTGGGAGGAATTATTGTCGATTGTTCCAGACCTATCTCAAGCATAAGCGAGTCTATGCATAGTGTGTGTCTTTTGCATGTGTGAGCACTAGTGCTTGTCCACGGACCCAGACCCTCATTTTTCCCTGTTTTCATCTTGTATGAATTGGGGTGAGCAGTTCACAGTTCACATAATATATCCTGCCTCTCCCTGCACAGGACTGTGTGTACGTGTACTGGAGTCTTTTTCACAGCTGCTGCAACATTTAATAGAATTACAATCACTTATTTAGCCATTATCTCCTTGAGATACCTACAGCTTGTTTGTTTTTGCTATTACAGATATTCTATTGCAAAGACTATGGTGTGGGAGTGAGCATGCAGTTCTGTAGGATTGGTTACTAGAAATGGAGCTGCTGAATTAAGGGTAATACATCTTAAAGTTTTGATAGATATATGTGACAAAATTCATTTTTAGTGGCGTGTCACTGTATCGTGGACTCTGCTTGTCATGTTCATGCGCTTTTCACTCCCTGCCTTGTATTACAGCTGCTGATGTTCAGGTTCTGTTGCCCGTGTGTGGTGGACATCTGCTTCTGCTCCTAGCAGGTATCCCCCCTTCTTCTGGTAATCGCTGTGAGTTTCCTTTGGGAAACTCCTTCTGCCACCCCCACTCCACATGGCTCTGAAAAGGCTGATTGTGCCTCTGGTCCAGAGGTGAGCACCACCTGGGGTGCTGTGGTGATGGCTCAGGCACATGTGTGTATGTGTGTCTCCGTCCTGGCCATGGCAGTCAGTGCCACACTGTTTGTGGAGCTACTGTGAATCCAAGTAAATGACATTCCAGAAAGGCAAAACTGTGGTGACAGTAACAAGATCAGGAGTTGCCAGGAATTGGGGGTGGGTGGGGGTGGGATGCTTAGATGGAGCATGGAGGACTTTTAGGACAATGAACCCACCCTGTATGATACAGTAATGGCAGGTGCATATCATTGCAGCTTTGTACAAACCTGTAGGATGCTCAACACCAAGATTGAGCCTTTGTGTAAACTGCGCACTTTGGGTAATGACGATGTGTCAGTATAGGTTTGATGGCGTAATAAATGTACTGGTTTGATGTAGGATATGGATAGTGCAGAGACCGAAGGTGGTCAGAGTGTGGGGGTTAGAGGATATATGGGAACTGTCTATTAATTTTTTAAAGAAAGACAACACTAGGTTTCGGTAGATAATCTCTAAATTGAAAATCATGTGTTACATTCTGCTCCTGGCTCTTTCCCAAACACGATACGTGTTTGTGTGTGCTTACTTCCTCTCCCTAAGCTTCAGTTTTTCTATCTGTAGGCTCAAGAGACTATACCTGTCAGTACGGTGAGTCCAGGACATCTAAGGAGGAAATGCCCGGAAACATCAAGTGGTAGCTGAGGGCCTTAGAGAAGTCAGGTGGGGCTGGAGCCAGCAGCAGCAGCAGACTCTGGGTCTGAGCAGTGTGCTCTTAGGTGAGGAAAATGGGTTGTTCCAGGAGAAATCTGGGTGTTTAGTCCTGATGAAGGAGCGATGTTTAATGCCCCAGGGGAGATGGTTTCATTTATCTGCTGGGTACTAAGTGCACACTAACTGTGTGTACACCTTGTGGTAGGTCTCTAACCTAGCCGAGAGTCGGAACCACATGCACCAAAACACTAAAGCTCAATGGTCAACAGTTTGCTTTTGAAGTCAGGCAGGACTGGGCTTGACTGTGTAACTGCAAAAGGTTGAGCGATGGCCCCAAGACAAGACTCCAAGACTTTGCAGATATGAGTAAAGTAAGAGCCTCGAGATTAGGAGATTATTCTGGATTACCCAAGTGGGCCCTAAATGGAGCCCAGTATCTTCATAAGAGGGAGCCAGAGGGAGATTTGACCATGGAAAAGAGATAAGGAGATTATGTGATGGATGCAGAGATGCTACGCAAAGACCAGGGAAGGGGGCAGGGCCAAAAAATGCACAAAATGTCCTTCTAGAAATGGAAAAACCCAGGGAGCAGTTTCCTCTGGCCCTTCTGACACTTTCAGCTTAGCCCAGTGCAACTGGTCTTTAGTTTCTGGCCTTTAGAACAATAAGAGAAGACATCTGTGTGGTTTCAAGGCACCAAGTTTGTGACAGTTCCTTACACCAGTGGTAGGCAGCTGACATAAGCAAGGGAAAGGACTTCACCCCAAGCGTCAGTCAGGTGGGAATAACACCTTGATTCATCACACACATTTTGAGTCTCCCATGAGCCAGGCTGGTGGGTGCTGGACTCTGGGGCAAAGGAGTCCCTCCCACTTTCTTGGAGGCTAAATTCCAGCTGGAGGGCACAAACCACCATGGGCAAGCAAGCACGTAAGCAGGAGAACCACAGGCTATGAAAGAAAGAGCAGGGCTGTGATGGAGAGACTGGGCTGGCAGAGGGGCTGGCTTTGGATAGGATGGCAGGGGAGACCCTGGGAGGAGAACACACTGGAGCCAAGACCAGCCAGGCAAAAAGCAGAGGGTCCACAGCTCAGGCACAGGGAGCAGCAGGTGCAGATGTGCGAGGAGGGGAAGGGCAGTGTTTGTTGGAGACAAGGAGCAGGTTCGCGCACAGTGGAATGCTGCTGGCGGAGACAAACAGGGTGAGGGCGGAAGGGTGGCAGGGGCCAGAGCGTGCGGGGTATGTGGGCTGTAGTGAGGAGTGTTGACTGCATTCCCCCAAACAATTTGGAGCAGGGGAGGTTTTAAGCAAGGTGGCTCATCACTGGCTGCTGTAAGGAAATGGAATTCAGGCAACGAAACTAGTTAGAAAGTTAGTGCTGCCTTCCAAGGGAGAGATGTTGCTGGCTTGGATAGAGGTGGTGAAAATATTAAATAACATAATGAATATTGAATCCCTGGCATATAGTATGCACTCAGTAAGCAGTAGCTCTTGATCTGGGATGATGGTGATAGTGGTGGTGGCAGTCAGTCACCATCACCATCACCATCACCATCATCATCATCATACTTAGTTTTTGCTGGAAGCAAACAGCTGAATGAAATGTGACTGTGTTGAATGTGCAGTGTGGATGCCTGCAACAAGTCAGAGAGGTCCCATCAAGCCCTCATCCCCGCTCATCAGGGGAAGCTGTTGCTGAAGCCATGAACTCCTTCCTTCTCCCCAATGCACCCTCTGCCAGCAGGTCCAGAAACCTAGAAAACAGAGCCCTTATCCACACACATGAATAGGCAACACAGCTGTGCAGGGCTCCTGAGGGTCAGCTTGTAGTTTGACAGCCTCCACAGTTGGTCCGATGGACCTTTGGTGAGCTGACCAAATACGTGGTATTTGCGTGAAATCCCCTGAAGACATCTTACGTGGGCCCCTCTGTGTGACTCCAGCCGTCTCACACCTGAGCACACGCATGCAAACTCTCTCGTCTCCACCTCCTCAGCACTGCGCCAGCCCAGGCTCCCACCGTCTCTCCCTGACTCAGCCACCACCTCCTCACAGGCTTCCCTGCTTCCTCTCTTGCTCTTCTGTCCTCCATTCTCCATGAAAATCTTTCCAAACCCTGACACACATTAAATGACTCCCTAATTTTTTTTTTTTTTTTGACAGGCAGAGTGGACAGTGAGAGAGAGAGACAGAGAGAAAGGTCTTCCTTTGCCGTTGGTTCACCCTCCAATGGCCGCCGCGGCCGGCGTGCTGCGGCCAGTGCACCGCGCTGATCCGATGGCAGGAGCCAGGAGCCAGGTGCTTTTCCTGGTCTCCCATGGGGTGCAGGGCCCAAGCACCTGGGCCATCCTCCACTGCACTCCCTGGCCACAGCAGAGAGCTGGCCTGGAAGAGGGGCAACCGGGACAGAATCCGGCGCCCCCACCGGGACTAGAACCCAGTGTGCCGGCGCCGCTAGGCGGAGGATTAGCCTAGTGAGCCGCGGCGCCAGCCGACTCCCTAATTCTTTACCTTGAGCTGCAAACCTTCCTGGCCCAAGCCCTCATCTGAGCTCTGTCCCCTATGCGCACAGAATTCAGGTCACCCTGGATCTCTCCACTGCCTACGCCTGCCTTCTCCCTTACACCTGCTGCCCCTGCCTAACCACCAGCCTCAGTCTCCGATGTCCCACAGCTGCCTCCTCCTCTTCAGATCTTGGCTTCAACGCCACCTTCTCAAAATCCTTACCTGACAGCTTTCTCTCCATCGCCTCCTCCCTCCCACCCTCATCATCCTCTGCAACATCATCATGGTCATTTTCTTCAAGGCATGAACCACCATTTTCAGTTATTCCTTTCTTTCTTCCAGATTCCCCCTCTCCCTGCCACTGGACTGCCACTGGTAAGTAGGTAGAGATTGGATTTCGAAATGGAAGCTCCATCAGCTCGTGTGCTTGTATTTGATGACGGTGATGGGGCCTCTAAGGAAACAGTTAAAGGTTAAATGAGGTCATCAGGATCGGGGCCATGATCAGGTAGGATGGGTGTCCTTAGGAGAAGATGCACACCCAGGCACACGCAACCAGGAAAGGCCATGTGAGGGCACAGGGAGGAGGCAGCCATCCACATGTCAGGAAGAGAGCAAGCCCTGGCCAGAAACTGACTTGGCCAGCTCTTGCAACCTCCAGCATGGTGTTAAAATAAATGTTGTGTAGGCCACGCAGCCTGTGGCATTTTGCTATGCAGCTCCAGCAGACTGAGCCGTGAGTCCTATTTCGTTTGCTTACTCCTGTTGCCTACCTCCTGCCGGAGCACTCCCCACATGGCCAGGACTCAGTAAGTGTCTGTTGAATGAATGAGTGAACCTCCTCATTCATATTTTCCATGGTGCCCGGCAAGCAGTGAAAGCAGCAGGGCTCGGACCTCGAGAGACCTGAGCTCAGCTACAGACCCAACCCTGCCCTCAAACACCATTTATTATTACGTCCCTTCCACTGGCTGGGCTTCAGTCCCCCAGTCAGTAAGACAGGACAGCCCAGCACAGCGACCTCACAAATACCCTCGTGGGACAGCATGACATCTCCAGAATGGCAGCCCTGTCTGGGGCACTGACTGACCCAGGCCCTGCTTGTTCCTCTCCTCAGTTAATCCCCACTCCAGCCTGATACCCTCGACCAGCATTTAGCAATTGAGGAACACCCAGGCACAGGGCAGTGACTCGGGAAGCGTTAGCAGCCTCCCAGGAGCATTAGCAGGAAGCTGGATGAGAAGTGGAGCAGCCAGGACTAGATCGGCAGTCCAATATGGGATGCAAACAGTGGCTTTAACCTGTCTTGCCACAATGCCAGCCATGTTTATAAATTTGATCAATGTGTGAAATCCCAAAGTGTTGAAGCCCATGTAAGGACTTTGTGAATATTGGAGCTCCTGATGTGCACTGGGCAAGGCAGAAGAACAGAGATACCTGAACTGCAGCTTGGACGCAGAACCAAAAGAGGTGTCCACCATGGATGGATGATAAAAACATACATTGTATGTACACCATGGAAGACTATTCAGGCACATAAAAGGGACAGAATCTTGTGGCTTATAGCAGCATCGATGGACCTGGATATCCTAATGGTAAACAAAATTAGCCAGACTTGGCAACTGATGTCACTCATTTGTAGACTCTGAGAAAGCTGAGCTCCCAGAAGTTGAAAGCAGAATCATGGTTGCCAGAGGGCACCTGCCTCTCTGCCTCACGGCAGACCTGGAGTCCTGGAGTCCTCTGGCCTTTGAGGCCAACTGCTGTCCAGAACCCATGTCACAAAGGGAGCAGTGAGGTCCAGAGAGGGACAGTGCCTTCCCCAGGGTCACACAGCTTCACATCAGAGCCACAGTGGACCTCAGGGCTTCGGATGCTGGCTCAGTGTTAGAGGGCTTATGTTGGCAGCCCCTCGCCTGGGAGAAGGCATCTCACCTGCTGACAAGTGTGACAATGATTTGGGGGTCCCTCCCCCTCAACCCTCTGCCACTTTCCTTCTCACTGATGATATCTGTGGAAGTCCCTGGGCAAACATGGCTATCCCAGCAAGAGATTTAAAGACTCTCAGTGTTCTTCCCAACCTGGAGAGGAAGCAGAAAGTGGATCGCACATAGGTATCCCGACCTCCTTGGCAGTCTGGTGTTACAGAGCCCTAGGGGGAAGGGGAGTTCTGAGCTCGGAATCCAGGGTGGAATGCTGGCGCCATGCAGGTGCAGGTGCAGGTGCGGGTCATGGACCGCAGCCTGATGCTCCCCAGCCCAGGGAGAGTGGCACGCAGGGGGGCCAGGCAACAAAGAGCAGACATGGCTAGGACCACAGCAAGTGTTTCCAGTGACTCAAGGCCAGAAACTTGAAGGGGTTAAGCCAGGGGGACAGTGTGGTGGTCCAAGAAGCAGGATGCAGCTCCAGGAGAAGCTGAGACGGCATTTGGACCCTGTGCAGGCTTAGCTGTGACCCTCAGCAAACTATTACTTCACCTCCCCGAGGCCCGATTTCTTCATCAGAACAATGCTACCCAAAGAAGTGGCCAGAGTGGTGGAGCCTGAAGCTTATACATTAGGTGGAAGGGGAGGGGAGGGCCCCTTTAAGAAGAAAAAAATGCAAAATTTGAAATTCAAAACTGCTTACCGGACCTTGGAGAGAGCTCCCTGCAAGGGAGGGGAGCTGAGAAATCTGTCTGGGATGCTACCAGTTAGCAGGGAGATGATTTAAGTAAAGCTCCCGGTGCGAAGCAGGACTCGATAAATGTTAGTTTGGGGAATGAGATGATGCAGGGGAAGTGGCAGGGCTTGAGTGCAAGGCTATAATTTCAGGGAGGAAGGAATGCTGGCCCACTCATCTGAAGCAGAGATAATGACAGAGAATGGGGTAGAAGAGAAGCCCCCGAGGCTGTCTTTAGCTACAGGCTTGGGTCCTGAAGGCCATGGGTGACCCTGGGCAAATCACACCCTGTCTTGGCGCCACTGTCCTGCCCAGGAAAATGTGGCTGGAGTTGCACAATCTCTGCCTCTCCCTCATTTCCTCTACTCTCCCCGTGGAAGCTGAAGCAGTTAGAGGTGAGTGAGGCTTGTTCTGTTCTGTTTTTAGCAACGTAAGAAAGAAATGCTCCCGGAAGGGCCATCTTACAGTGCAGGGACAGTGAGACGTGGGCACCCCGGCCCTGGGAGGAACACGAGAGGGGCCACGCAGGTGTTTTCTGGAAGGCAGGCCTGGGATATCGGTTAAGGTCCCCGCCAAGTTGCTCTGCAGTCCCAGCTCTGCCGCTTTGTAGCTATGCAACCTCTGGCAGAGTCCTTGACTTCATTCCCCAATTTGCAGGAGTCAATGAAAAAATATAGCTAGAACATTTAGAGGAGTGTCTCTCCCTTCGTAAAGGCCTTAATCAAAGGTAGTTATTGAAATGATCTCTGGCCTGCACTTGGCCTGGTAGTCAAGACACCTGGCGGAATGCTTGTGTTTGATGCCTGCCTGTGGCTCCTGATCCCAGCTTCCCGCTAGTGCAGACCCGGGAAGCAGCAGGTGATGGCTCAAGTGGTTGGGTCCCTGCCACCCACGGGAGAGGCCCAGATTGAAATCCTGGCCCCTAGTTTTGCTCGCAGATATTTGGGGAGTGAATCAGTGAATGGGAGTGAACTGTCCTCTTAAATGTGTGTTTTTAAGTGTATTTATATGTGTGTGTATAAAAATATTTGTAGATTTATATAAATAATAAATATTTATAAACCTATCTCTACATATGGCCCTGAAGTCAGTTTTTTGTTCCTGGCCAGTCCTATTAATGTTGGGGAGAGACAGAATCTCTGACTTCTTGGAAAAGAAGAAAGATCTGTGCTTAAAACCACAATTTATATATATGGAGAGAGATGTGTGTACGTGTATATATGCATATCTACACATATCTGCACACATACACACATATATGTCTATATCCCTATTGTCATTGCTGTTGCCATCACTGTTATTGATTGGCTAGTATCAGCAAGGGTGGGTGTCCTTCCCCAGTCCCTCCTTCCTCTCCACCTCCCTGGAGCTCCTCCTCTTCCACTGGGCTTCTTCAGGCTGGAGGAGGCGGTGCCCCGAGGAGGGAGGAGGGAGGAGGTGGGTGGGACCTCATTCCAGCTGGGCCAAGGCGGGCTGAGGCACAGCAGCTGAGTTGGGCTTGCACCTGCACCAAGTCACCTCCCCAGCCTGCCTCCTTCCACTGAGCTCTCCCTTTCTGAAGCAGTCATGCCTGTGACAAAGAGTGCTGAAGGTCCCCAGGGAGCCGATGCCCTCAAATTGGATGTCATACCGTCCCCCACAAGTGCCAAGCACCTGCAGAACAAGGACTCCAGCTGTGTGGATGGAAGCTCCTCAGAGTCCCCCGGCTTGGAGAAGACCAAGGGCATAACGTGAGTGCTGTCTCTGCCCTCCAACCTGCAAGTCTGCATTGATCCAAAACCAGGGGTGGGTGGGTATATCTGACCCTCTGTCCACTGTGCAGACGGGGAAACCATGATTACAAAGGGTACAGGCAGAGGCGGGGTCAAGAAGAGCTGAAAGGGTCAGGAGCGGGAGTGTCAGAAAAGCCCTTAGGGAGTCTGGTGATCCAGTCTCCAGCATGTTTCTGAGGGATTACTGCAGCCTGCACAGTGAGTCATTGGCTGGATTGGGACTAGAATCCAGCATTTTGTTCCTGTCCGGTCCTGTTGCAGAATCTCAAACCTCTTGCAGGAGAAAGTGGGTCCTGGGCTTGAAAGCACAGTGGCCTCACTGTGGGCCAAGCCTTGCCTCCTTCTTGCCTCTTTCCCGCCTGCCCCTGCCTCCCTGCAGCAGGCCCTGGCCTCGGCTTCCCTGGCAGACTGCAGTTATGACAGCAGCAAGTGCAGCACGTGGGACACTGTTGTTTCTCCCAGTTCCCAGGAGATGGGGGCTGGGGGTGGGCAGAGCTATCATTTGCGCGGTTTTCTTTCTTTTTTTTTTTTTTTTTAAGATTTATTTATTTATTTGAGAGGCAGAGTTACAGAGAGAGAGAGAGAGGGAGAGAAAGAGCAAAAGGTCTTCCATCTGCTAGTTTACTCCCCAGATGGCTGCAATGGCCAGAGCTGGGCCCATCCGAAGCTGGGAGCCAGGAGCTTCTTCTGGGTCTCCCACTTGAGCCATCTTCTACTGCTTTCCCAGGCCACGGACCAGTGCCCATATGGGATGCCAACACTGCAGGCAGAGGCTTAGCCTACTACTCCATGGCGCTGGCCCTTTGTGTGATTTTCAAAACAGAAAAAAGAGGGAAGCCAAGGTAGAAGGCACCCTCTCTCCTTCCCTGCACTTGACCCCGCCACTCAGCCAGACGAGCGG